AAAAAAAAAAAAATTGGCCAGCCATGGTTGTGCATATGTATATTCCCAGCTACTTGGGAGGCCGAGGCAGGAGGATCACCTGAGCCTGGGAGGTTGAGGCTGCAGTGAGCTATGATTGAGCCACTGCACTCCAGCCTGGGCAACAAAGTGGGATGCTATATCAAAAGTTTTTTTTTTTTAATTAAAAAGCAAACAAGCATAGTTTGGGGTGTGTGTTTGTGTGTGTCTATTTTGTCTATCTTGTCATATTTTTGCAAGAAATATTCATTTTTTTACTTCATATGAACTTAATTCTGAGACTCCATACTTCTGGGCTAAAGTGAAATTCAACCTCAGCCATTTTGGTGGCTCTTTAACTTCAAAGGGTCCCAACCAAGCACCCAGACATTGGTGACACCCTTATGGTCATTGCTATCAGCACTGCCTGCTCATCATCAAGCCTGTCCTTGCCTAAGCCTATAAGATCTCTCAAGTCCAGAAGTCCTGCCACTTGACTTCTTTCATGGCTGGAGTCCTATAGGTGTCAGCCTCTAGGGTCTGACAGGTATCAGAGGTGTCAGCCCTTGACCATTGCCAGCAGGGTCTTAAAACCTGTGTGTGTGCACTGGGGGCAGGGAATAGGAGGACCCTGGGCACTGCTGGACTCAAATCCCTATTGTGGGACCCACAGACCTCTGTTTCTAATCTCCACTCAAAAGCTGTGTCCCTCGGTCGGGTGTGGTAGCTCACACCTGTAATTGCAGCACTTTGGGAGGCTGAGGCGGGAGGATCACCTGAGGTCAGGAGTTCAAGACCAGCCTGGCCAACATGGCAAAACTTGTCTCTACTAAAAAAATACGAAAATTAGCCGGGTGTGGTGGCACATGCCTGTAATCCCAGCTACTCGTGAGGCTGAGGCAGGAGAATCACTTGAACCTGGGAGGCAGATGCTGCAGTAAGCCAAGATTACGCCATTGCACTCCAGCCTGGGCAAAAGAGCAAGACTCTGTCTCAAGAAAAAAAAAACCTGTGTCCCTCTCCCAGCAGCCCTCTAAGACACCTATCATAATTATCATAATCCATTCAGTGCTCTTTGGGTCTATTAAAAACAGAAAGAGCCAATGTCTTCTGGTTGCTTCAGGTTTCTGCTCTACAAAAATCTCTAAGGCAAAGCACTGCAAAGCTCGACTACTTGCTCTGCAGGAGGGGGATGAGGGAAAAAGAAAGTGGACAAACTCAATTTAATATTTTTAGGATAGTCTCTCATCAAAATATATAATTGTTTGGGTATATAAATGTGAATTGTCTAGAGAGATCCTTGGAAGCTGGGAGTGATGATTGTCTCTAGCGAGAGGGGCTGAGTCTGGGTGGGAAGCAGCCTGGTTTTGTACCTTGCAATACCTGTAGTGGTATTGCTTGAATCCAATACATGGATACATGTCATTTTTATGATGATAACATCTTTAGGTTATGAATCTGAAGAGATACAAATTATTTTTTAATTCATTAACTAGGAAACACTTTTCCCAACCAAGGCTTGCCTACAGTAGATATTGTCGTTCTAACTTTATGGCTCAGATTGCTGAGTTCAGAGGAATTAATTGCCCAAGATTACAAGAAAGCAGAGTCCAGATTCGAACCCAGAGCTGTTTTACACTTGGGCCCATGAATGCTCTTTCTCCTACTCCTGTTTTCCTCTCCTACAAGACCCATTCATTCCACTAAGTTCCTTTCTTTTATTGCCCAAGTAATAAGGCCTGGCAAAATCCCCTTCACCAGGCCACACAGCTATACCAAATCCTTGAATACCCGTAAATACCTGAAACCGTGTTTCAAAATACACTATAAAATGTAAATAAGAATGACACATAGTTCACCTCAAGTTCATACACAGCAGCAATGTACAGGGTTAACAGTAAAATACATGGAAGACATTTAACCTGAAATGTTAGGCAAAGCCAGTTTTAAAGGAATGAAATAATAACCTTAGGAAAATTTAATTATACTTCTGAATACATCATAACTGCATATTGTTTATCTTTATGTCAGATAAAATATAATGTTATTAACAAATAGAAAATTATGGGTTGCTGCCTATTGGTTGTTTGCTTAAGGAAGAATTTGGGTTGTTGAAAATTAATAAGATTTTCTTTTTTATAGAATGCTATAGTTATCCATGAAGTATATGAAGAAGGCGCAGCAGCCAGAGATGGAAGACTTTGGGCTGGTGACCAGATATTAGAGGTATATGGTTTTGAATTTTATTTTATATCAGTAAATATGGTTCCTTTCCTAATCTTGATCCACAAAGTGAATTTATCTTTCTACTCAACTATATCTTCACTGATTTCTCTACCATTTAACAAGATATATACCATATTCTTTTTTTCTTCAATGTCCATTGTACAGTAGTCTAGAATCATGACAGGTGTCAATCTACATTTGTCTCTGAAAACTTTTTCTAACTAAAAGGAAAAATACAACTATGGCTCTATTATTTTAATATCAAATGAGACTATATAATATTGCAAATTTTTTGCCTCTTCATTATACCCTACTAAATTCATCCTAAAAACACATACGTATAGACACATACATACGCATAAATACCTGATATTTTAAAGATTTTGTGGCAGCTTAAATAGGATTTTCTTTTTTTTTTTTTTTTTTTTTTTGAGACAAAGTCTCACTCTGTCGCCCAGGCTGGAGTGCAATGATGTGATCTCAGCTCACTGCAACCTCCGCCTCCCGGGTTCAAGCAATTCTCCTGCCTCAGCCTCCTGAGTAACTGGGATTACAAGTGCAAACCACCACACTCAGCTAATATTTGTATTTTTAGTAGAGATGGGGTTTCACCATGTCGATCAGGCTGGCCTCAAACTCTTGACCTCGTGATCCACCCACCTCGGCCTCCTAAAGTGCTGGGATTACAGGCTTGAGCCACCGCGCCCGGCCAATATTTTCTTAGTTTTAATAAATCTTTATGCAAAATGGAAGTTCATGCCTTGCCATCAATGTTTTCAAGTTGATAAAAATGTAAAATCCTCTCTCCTTAGGGGGAATATGATGCTTACTAAAAATTGAAATGTTTAACTTTTTCAAATTGACTCTCATTTAGCAAAGTTGTTAAAGCCTTTTAAAAAGTACCAAAGCAGTCAGTGTCTGCTCTATGGAATGGCTGAACGGGAAGCCGATGCCAGGCCTTCTGCTAGGTGGAATGAAAGAGCTTTTTCGATGGTGTGAAACCTTTAGGCGGCATTTATTTTTTCATTGGATGAACTTAATTGAATAGTTAGCATTTTATGGTGGCCATGTGCATTTTTTGCTTTGCAACTTTAATATAGCACATTATGAATGACATCATAGAATTTTAATTTTCCCTTTGGTGGTTCATTTCTGCCTCCCAAGATGAAACTGGAGATATAATTAAGGGCAGGAAACATAGGCGAGAAGGGGTTAAAGGAGAGGCTAAGCTGTTTGCAAATTAAATTCAGCCCAAGTTACGGGATTTCTCTACAGGCCTTTACTGTGTTTCATCATTGGATTAAGACATATTCCCAGTACACTAACTAAGGTACAAGTGTATGAGGTTAGAAAAATAAGCAAGACCTCTCTGGGAATTGGCTTGACTGCCTTAGCATACAACATGGTTTTTTAGTGATCAGGAGTTTGAGATTTCTTTGTTTTTCCCTCCCTAGATTTTCAGATCAATTGGTATTATCATAATTGGCTTTTTAAGATAAATAGATTAAATATTTAAAATGGCATAGATACACATATGCCTTGATACATACATGAATTGTATATCCACAGATTTTAATGGTCACTTGAAACTAAATCTAATATGTTCATTATCTTGAATGTGGTGATGCTTCACAGGTATAAATACACATCTGGTAAAACCTATCAAATTGTACAGTTTAAATTTGTGCATTTATTTTATATCAATTATACCTCAATAAGGATTTTTAAAAAATGGTTTCTGTTTGTATTAGATAGACCACCTGTAGTCGCTCTCATCTATAAAGTATGTTCAAGTACAAGTGAATACCCGCTAAAGGTTAACATTAATACAGCAAATTTGTTTTAAGTGGAAGGAGAATTGTAAAAATCAAGTTAACAGTTTCCTGGCAACTGGCAAAATTATGTTATCTCTTCTGAATGGATGCCTATACTGCTCATTAAAGATGGCCAATACAGGTTCCTCTCTTACCTCAGACAAGGTCTAGCTTGTGAGAGTCTAGCACATGTTTAACTAAGAAATACAGCTCTCAATTTGGTCAAGGGACATGTTTCCTTTCTAAACAGCTTTCTACTCCACATTGGACTGGTTCTGGTTGTGGCTGATGACTAGAAATGCGTGACAATGCAGCGGCAGCCGGTGACCCCAGAAGGCCTTGAGAAGTCAGGCCTGTTTTCATGGGATATTTTGAGATCATGAAACAAGGCTTTTCCAAACAGTGCCCTTTCCACTCATGAAAGTCCTCTGCATTCTACAAGTTGGCCTTTCACAGTTTTAATACTATTCTGATGTTAAGGTCAGATTTTGCTTCCAAAGATAGAGTCAAATAATGTTTTGGCATGGCAAGATTTATGATTCTATTAATAGGATGAACATGAGCTGTGTCTTCTTTCTGGTTCTCCTTTTAGGCCAGTTCCTTCTGGTACCCTCCCTGCTCCCCCATCCCCACCCCTAGTGCCATTATCCCCTCTATTTTGATGCAATTGTGAGCAGAAGAGAGTAGAGAGTTAATGCCCGAGTTTCCCTGTGCAGTAAAATACTGAGGAGCTGCTGCACTAGCTTTGTTACTCTTTCCTTCTCAAGCACTGGGTTCACCCTCTTTCCCACATGGCCATTCTATCCAAGGGATGTGGCATGCTCCCTTGACACATGGGTCTTCCTGGAGCCTTTCTTCCCAAATAGGAAGCCCTGCTATTTCCACCCTCCTCTTCTACAATCAATATTCTAAATAATGCATACTATGCTTCTGTAAGACATTTATATAATACATCTCTCCGCAGTATTCTAGCCACATCATGATATTTCTATCATGATTATTGGCACATTTAGTGGTATCTCCTGATTTGCAGAGGAGCAAATGGAAACTGTGATCTTAGATCACTTCCATCTGAGCAGACACCATCATGCTGGAATTTAATAGAAATTGCTTTGTAATATTACAGCTTAATGACAATGCTTTTAATTAAAAGTATATTTGTTAGGGCCTTTCAAAAGGTATTTAGAGGCTTAGAAAGCTCACCTTCAATCCATGGAGGTAACTTTTTTTTTAATTGAGTAACAGAAGAGGTCTTGTGTGCCATCTATTGGAATACAGGAAAATAATCAGCTCAGACCACATTTCCTAGAAATACACTTTTCCTCTTTGTGTTTCATTCATAGACAATGAAAACGTATTCACTGGCTTAAAGTAGCAGTGAATGATCATGCTGAGAGGAAAAACAGCCTTGACTAACGTTACTTCAATTCCTTGTAAAATACCAACTTCTAATTTACATTGAACATAACTGTGTGCGAAGCCCTGTGCTGAATGATTCATGACACTAAGTACATATGGTTATCCCTAAGTCATAGATGACATGGCAAAAGTTTGGCTTAAGTAATTTACACAGAGTTTCGTATAGCCAGTAAGTCCAAATCAGCACTCAAACTGAAGTGCATCCATGTCCAAAACCCATGTTCTTTACCACTGTTTTTCTGGATGTAACTCATCTAAGTGAACACGCAAGCTACCAAGATATACTAGAAAAGAAACAGCAGCTTTTAAACACTTTCTTGGCTCACACAATCAGCTTTTAATGACAGTTCAAAAGTCACCTTCTCCAAGAAGGTTCATCCTTCCTTTCTCTTTTCCCCATAACCATTCTTTATGCCACTGGTCCTTAGTCTTTAGAATGTTAGAATTAAAAAAGCCTTAGGGGCCGGGTGTGGTGGCTCACATCTATACTCCCAGCACTTTGGGAAGCCAAGGTGGGCAGATCACGAGGTTAGGAGTTGGAGACCACTCTGGCCAACATAGTGAAACCCCATCTCTACTAAAAATACAAAAAATTAGCCAGGCATGATGGTGTGCACCTGTAATCCCAGCTACTCAGGAGGCTGAGGCAGGAGAGTCGTGTGAACCTGGTAGGCAGAGGTTGCAATGAGCCGAGATCATGCCACTGCACTCCCACCCAGGTAACAGTGCGAGACTTCATCTCAAAAGAAGTGAAAAAAGAGAGAGAGACAACCAGATTCCAATGGGAAATTTCAGGGAGTCTTGGATGCTGTTGGAAATACTGGTCTCTCATCTCCTTCTGCGCTTGTTAGGAAGCAGTTGTGACGTGAGCAAATAAGAGCGAAGATGTCAGCCAGGCATGGTGGCTCATGCCTGTAATCCCAGCACTTTGAAAGGCCAAGGCAGGAGGATCACCTGAGCCCCAGAGTTTGAAGCCAGCCTGGGCAATATGGCAAGACCTCATCTCTACAAAAAATTTAAAAATTAGCTAACATGGTGGCACACACATGCGATCCCAGATACTCAGGAGACTGAGGGGGAAGGATCGCTTGAGCCTGGGAAGTCAAGGAAGCAGTAAGCCCAGTATTCATGCCACTGCATTCCAACCTGGCCAACAGAGTGAGACCCTATCTAAAAAAATAAATAAATAATCAAAGATGTCAAATCCAATAAGCAACTGAATCTAAAAATGCTGACTAAACACTAATATTTCTTTCCCTTTGATCTCAATTAAATGAGCTAGTTAATTCCCAGCGTGCACACACTCTCTTCTCTCTCTTTTTCATTGATTTCAAGTAAAGTTCATAGCTATGTGAAATTGCATTATCATGTATCCACCCTCTGTGTGCTTGTGGGGTAGGATATTTTAAGGGCCGCCTTCTTTACATTCAAAGCAGCTCGTACTGCTCGTGGTCACTACCTGTTTGCTTTGAGAGTGGCTGGAAATTTCTAGAGATTCTTGACTGGGTAGATCAAGGAGATTCAGCAGACAGAGCAGGCAGAGGCCTCTGCCATCAGCAGCTCATCTCAAAATGCCCATTGTTCCAGGTTAATGGGGTTGACCTGAGGAACTCCAGCCACGAAGAAGCCATCACAGCCCTGAGGCAGACCCCGCAGAAGGTGCGGCTGGTGGTGTATAGAGATGAGGCACACTACCGAGATGAGGAGAACTTGGAGGTTTTCCCTGTGGATCTGCAGAAGAAAGCTGGCCGCGGCCTGGGCCTGAGCATCGCTGGGAAACGGTAAAGCCGTCCTGTGCAAGTCAGGATCTGCCTTTTTGATCCAGAGCTCTGGGGACTGATGCCTGTGAATGCTGAAAGAGAAACCTTCATGTAAACTGCGATGGGATTTCTAAAACTAAGATATTTATGAATATTTGACAACATGGGTCATATTTCCAAGCAAGGTCTTACCAAAAAAATTGTCACATCAAGATAGAACTCCAGGCCCAATCAACCCAGACTGTTACTCTTTCGTATAGAGTACAAACAGCTAGAAGGTTCTTTCACTTGGAATTACTAGGATCTGAGTTTTGCAGAGGTTAAAGTAACCATACCCAAAAAATAACTAGTGTCAAGGACATTTATCCCATGTTGGGTCAAGAACATTGCTTTGACATGGAAATTAACATGGAAAGTTGCTTTGTGTCATACTATGTTAATTTCATGCTATGTTAAGACTAGTTGAGTAACCATAGTTAAGAGACAAACATAATTCTTCATGATAGTAGTTTTCTATTGAGAAAAATGTCTTTTTTGCAATCTGGGAGATGACAAAAAAAAAAAAAAAATGTCCTGCTGGGCACAGTAGCCTGTACCTATTGTCCCAGCTATGTGGGAAGATCACTTGAGGCCAGGAGTTCAAGGCCATAGTGTACTACGATCATGCCTGTGAATAGCCACTGCACTTGAGCCTCTTGGGAAATGTAACAAGACTCCATCTGTAAATTAAAAAAAAAAAGAAAGCCGGGCACGGTGGCTCACGCCTGTAATCCCAGCACTTTGGGAGGCCGAGGCGGGTGGATCACGAGGACAAGAGATCGAGACCATCCTGGTCAACATGGTGAAACCCCGTCTCT